CGATCATAGAGGATGAATAGAAGTGACAGCCCTGGCAGGCTCAAGAAGGTGATATTCTATTACATCTATGTGAATGGATGGTTGGAAAGATTACAGAATTTCTACTAACCACAGGGTAGACTGAACTATAGTTGGGAGGAGTGTGGAAAAGTCTCCAGCAGTTCCTAACAGATAGAGATGAAACTGACAACTGCAGATGGGATGGAAGTTTTATACTGCATCATACAGCAAGGGGCAGAAGTGATGAAACATAAAATGCAGATCAAATAAGAATTAAGGGGAACAAGAGGACAAATTCACCTTCCACAAACATAATTACAAAATAAAATATCACAAATAGATCAATCCCAGTACTGAATTGAGAATCAGGAGATGGTCTGGGGTCTAGTTCTCACAGTCAATCTGATGTTTATGGGTAGGAATGTGCACTGAAAGAGTTAAAGTGGACTCATGGCAAAGCTCCAGCCTCTGGAAGGAAATACTGTCCTTCAGCCACTGCCTCCCGACGTCCTGCACACACATATGCAGGACACAGTGACACACCAGTAGATTTTTCTTCTCTAACTCCCTGACTGTGATTGTATCTGACAACATTTTCAATCTCGCCAACTCCCCAATCTCACTGACGTAATCCATAATGTGTTTGAATCTCTCAAGCCCTGGCTTAATGAATTGTGATGTTGTTGAATAAATATTCAATTTTAATCCTTTCAGAGAAGCCAAACAGAGTCTGTAACTCTAAATGTCAACAGTCCAAAATGGGTTTTGAAAGGAATTCACAAATAGAGACAAACGGTTTGTGACAAAAGTGCAGTTTGCACCTCAAATCCAAGACACCTCTCTCTCAATGCGTGAGGACATCTCCACTTAGAGTCCCAAGTTTAATGGATGTATCGATGTTGATAATAACTGGCAGTCTCTACCAATCAAGCTTTACTGTGCACTAGCAGTTGAGCATTAAAATGAACAGTAGTATGATATATTGTGCTTGTTCTGGTGAAAAACAACAATGCATTTAAGGAAGGACCTTTACAATGTGTACAGCATTTTTTTTACTCTTATCTCTATTAACACACACTCTTGAAGCTCATAGCTGTGAGTAATGACCTGGTGCTTTCAGTAACAGGAACTGTTAAGTACTACAACAGATAAAACACATCCTATGGAAATCATGTGGTTAAAGCATTTAAGTGGATTGGGCAATGTTGCTATTAGCCCTTTCTGCATTTTCCCCATTCACAACCAGCCACTGAATACATTGTCCCAAACCACCGCAGTAAATTCCCTGCATATACTGTATTAGTCAACAAACAGTCTGTACCCAGTAGCAGAATTGAATCCAAACTGGAATCAACCACTCATCACCCAAAACAGGGTACAATACTTACCCACTTCAAATCTGCAGTTACTTCCCTTAAAAGTAGGGAACAAATCTTTCAACTGACTTAAAAAGAGTTTACAGCATTGCCATTGGATTAAAAATTGCCATTTCAAACCACCAACCTTAAAGCAAAACTGCTAATCAAAATCAAACTAATAAACAAAGACAGGGAGCTATGATGCCATTATATCTACCTTAATAAGCAATGGCACTTCCATTGACTTTGTCATATTATTACCCTTTTGGTTTGTTTCAACAATAATGTATTAATTTTTTCCTCCCCATTTCTCAGTAGATTTGTAATTTCCTTTTCTTGGAAAAAAACATTCTCTTGGAAACTCTTTTCTCAAAAGTGTTGATAGACATTTGGTTTTCTGTAAAACCTAGGCAGAACTGCTTGTGCTTCCTGTGGAAATTCGCACATGTTCATTCAGCAAGTGAGAAAAAGGGTTGCAGAGAGCTCTGAGTGTATATACAGACATTGTAAATGAAGAGTGGTTCACATTATCTAGCCAGATACAGTCTTTTTTATATAAAGAGTGGAAGGGGCTGTAGCTGTCACTGCAAATGTTTCTGCTATATAAAGAACAGTATCCAGTGCTCATAGAAATCAATCCTCAGGCCATAGACATGTTGATTTCAGTTCCTCATGTCCGTCATAAAAATAGATTGGTGGAAAAAGTCCTTTGTAAATATTCTGCGCCTTTTTTTCTGCATATTACACTATAGAGTAGCTAATATCTGAGGCAGGACAGTTCATACAACAGTTCTCCTGCATGACCTACACCTCACTTTTTCTGCACTAAACAGCTCTCCAGTCTATGCCCCTCTGATGCTACTCTATCCCACATCAGTCTCAGTTCTTGCTGTCCATATCAACATGGCATAATTTGGCACCTCTGTGAACATTTTTTTGTTGAAAAACCTTCATAAAAATCCAGAATACCAAAAGCTATACGGTCTGGTGTAATTTGGGATAAACACGGCTTCAAGGGCCCCTTCACAATAACACCAAGTGAAATCACCAATGCACAGGAACCAAAGATCAGATAAAACACACAGACCGGACGGACACTATGGCTTATTTGGAAGGAAACTCTGGAAGTTGACAAGTAAAATCCAGAGAGGAAACTTCCATTTCTTGGGCAAAAGTCCAGAAATATTTTCTGATAACCTTGTTATCTTAACCCCTCTGGAGACAGGGCGAGTTAATGAAAAACAATACATATATAAAATGCCTGCAAATTCTAATAAAGCCCAGGTCAGTCGCTGTTACAGGACGTTGAGGTTCTTACACGCTAACTCTCGGGAAAACTCCGGATAGCATGCTGGCAAAGTCATTACTGAGTTCAGAACACATAGCTACTCATCAATCAGGGCAGCTTCTCATTACTTCTTGGAAAATGCTGATCAATATGAACATTAACATGGCTTTTGATTGTGGAATATTTTGCTGCTTATTGTTCTATAAAAACATTGATAGGTTATTAATTTGAGCACAGTATAACAACAAAGAAAGATGTATTGTCCGCTCAGTCACATACTGCTCTCTCAAACCCCAGCGGTGTGTTTTTACAATATCTGAGGATAGATGGTCTGTCAGTACATTATTACACTTTGGTTTCTTTTTCCTGGGTTAAATGTTTAACTACAATTATCTGCTCTAATCTTGAAACCACCAGGCAACCCAAGAACGTGTGGTATGTGATAGCAACATACCCAAAGACTAGAGATCAGAATTTTAATCACCACAGCAGATCACACTGAAATATTAAAACAAACACCCTCACTACCCTAAGATAGGGAGCAATAATTTAAGAAATAGATGAATTCCACAATACACGATGCAAAGTACACACATACAAACCAATTTACATTTACACAATGCCTTTCATATTGGGAGGACATCTCAAAGAGCATACATAGTTAATACAACTATGTATGTACAACTTTCCGCTGTCAACGGAATCTGCCAACGCCCAGATTTTTTTTCTCTAAACAGATTGTGAATGATAGCCGCTTAATGCCAGCAAGCATGAATACCTGTTGCATCACTGGGGAATGAATGCATCTTTAAAAGTGATAAACTTTGTTGTAAAGTTTTGTAAATTCCATGAACCCCCAGGAAGCCAAACCTGATGCCCTGTTCCCCACGGATAACTCACTGAAGCTCTACAGTCCACGGATGGTTGATTTTCGCTATTTCCCATGATCATTCCTTTCCCAAGATCAGCTTAGATGAAACTTGTTCTTGCTTCTGACTCACTTGCTAAATAATTGAATCCTTATTCAGTCATTTGGGGGTAACGGATCAACTAACTAGTGCTTTTGATGTTGTTAACACCTGAATAAATAGTTATTTCCTCACCACCTCCGCTTCTCCTCAGGAAAGAATATCAAATCTTCAACACCACAAGGGTATGACCGAATAGTTAAGTCAATTTATGTCAAAAATGCAAGGATTGGTATCATTCACCCATTACCCAGTGGATAGTTAGTTGATCCAATTGCTAATCCAGCATTGTATATTGGCCCACAACATATAGTCAATTCCCCACTTCACAGTGTATTCTGTGAAGCGCTTTGAGACGTCTCGAAGACGTGATAAGGCGCTGTATCAGATCGCAAGGATTAGTATCATTATTACTTGGTGGGCACTGAATCAAACTGTTATTCTCCTACTGCCCCAGGGGCATCGGAACAGAATATTATTCCCCCACTTCCCCTCACCCCCCACATTACCCTGTGGGCAACCAGTGTGCAGTCATCGGACCATTATTGCCTGGCGGGACCCCCCGAGGACCAGTTGTGTCGTTATTCCTCCTTAACGTTACCCTGTGGAATGATGAATAAAACCTTTCCTCTCCCCCTGGACCAACCCAACCGGGAATCCAATCCCGACTGAATAAATGGGGTGGGGGGTGGGGGGGGGGGGGAGAGAGAGCGAAAACTTTGCTGTTTCTTCCCAGGGAGGAGCAGAACCACTTTGTGTGTGAGTTTGTGTGCGAAACAATTCCTAACAAACTCCTTCTCTCCAGAGATTCCCAAACCACCAGCCAAGCCCCCCCCCACCCCCCCCATAAAAAAAAAGGTGTGTGGAAAAAAAAAGTTCCCAACAAACTCCCCTTTTCTCCAGAGATTCCCAAACAAAACGCCCCCCCCCCCCCAATATATAAAAAAAAACTTTCCCAAACTTCAGCAGCGACTCGGGTCATAATCCCTGAAACCCAGTGAGTGAACAAGCGGGAGAGGGGGGGTCTGGGCTGCGGGGGGGGGGAGGCCTGAGGCCCGCGGACACCCCCCCACCCAACCCACCCACCCAACCCGGGGGTCTCCCCCCACACCCACCTCAAAGCCTCTCACAGGCAAACAGCGACCACGCGCTGCTCCCCACCCCCCACACCCCCCCCACCCGCCGCCGCCTTACCCCGGGTTGGCAGCGGCCCGGCCCTCACCGCCAGCGCCGGGCTGTTTCCGGGGCCTGAACTGCGAGCCCCGCGGCCCCGGCAGTGCCCCCTCCCACCCACCCCGGGCCCCCCACCACCGCCCTCCCTCTCTCTCCCCCCCCCCCCACCCACCCACCCACCCGGTGCCGCTCAGCCACGGCGGCGTCACTCACCCAGGTCGTCCATGCCCGGGGCCGCCGTGCGTGTGCGTCTGTCTGTGTGTCTGTGTGAGGAGACGCCGCACAGCCCCACCGCCGCCTCTCTCTCTCCCTCTCTCTCTCCCTCCCTCACGGCGCCGGTCTGAGGCAGCGAGGGGCGGGGCTACCGCAGCATCGCGCGCCTCCGAGCGGGAGCGCGCACTCTCTGGGGGAGGGGGAGGGGGGGGGGAACCGCTGTGTGATACCGGGAGCGCGCATTTGGCTGTTCGAGGCAGCGCGCGCTGACCGCTCGTCACGGGGGCGCGCACTGACTGACTAATGGGGGCGGTGTGCACTGACTGACTGGTGGGGGAGGGGGGCTGCACTGACTGGTGGGGGGAGGGGGGGCTGCACTGACTGGTGGGGGGAGGGGGGGCTGCACTGACTGGTGGGGGAGGGGGGGGGCTGCACTGACTGACTGGTGGGGGGAGGGGGGGGCTGCACTGACTGACCGGTGGTGGGGGGGGGGGCAGCACTGACTGACTGGTGGGGGGAGGGGGGGCTGCACTGACTGACCGGTGGGGGGGGGGGCAGCACTGACTGACTGGTGGGGGAGGGGGGGGGCTGCACTGACTGGTGGGGGGAGGGGGGGCTGCACTGACTGGTGGGGGGAGGGGGGGGCTGCACTGACTGACCGGTGGTGGGGGGGGGGGCAGCACTGACTGACTGGTGGGGGGAGGGGGGGCTGCACTGACTGACCGGTGGTGGGGGGGGGGCAGCACTGACTGACTGGTGGGGGAGGGGGGGCTGCACTGACTGACGGTGGGGGGGGGGCAGCACTGACTGACTGGTGGGGGAGGGGGGGGGCTGCACTGACTGGTGGGGGGAGGGGGGGCTGCACTGACTGGTGGGGGAGGGGGGCTGCACTGACTGACTGGTGGGGGGAGGGGGGGCTGCACTGACTGACCGGTGGGGGGGGGGGGGGGCAGCACTGACTGACTGGTGGGGGAGGGGGGGGCTGCACTGACTGACCGGGGGGGGGGGGGCAGCACTGACTGACTGGTGGGGGGAAGGGGGGGGCTGCACTGACTGACTGGTGGGGGGAGGGGGGGGCTGCACTGACTGACTGGTGGGGGAGTGGGGGCTGCACTGACTGACTGATGGTGGGGGGGCTGCGCTGACTGACTGATGGTGGGGGGGCTGCACTGACTGACTGGTGGAGGGAGGGGGGGCTGCGCTGACTGGTGGGGGGGGGGGGGCTGCGCTGACTGACTGGTGGAGGGAGGGGGGCTGCACTGACTGACGGTGGGGGAGGGGGGGGGCTGCACTGACTGACTGGTGGAGGGAGGGGGGGCTGCACTGACTGACGGTGGGGGGAGGGGGGGGGCTGCACTGACTGACTGGTGGGAGGAGGGGGGGGCTGCACTGACTGACGGTGGGGGGAGGGGGGGCTGCACTGACTGACGGTGGGGGGAGGGGGGGGGCTGCACTGACTGACTGGTGGGAGGAGGGGGGGGCTGCACTGACTGACGGTGGGGGGAGGGGGGGGGCTGCACTGACTGACGGTGGGGGGAGGGGGGGGGCTGCACTGACTGGTGGGGGAGGGGGGGCTGCACTGACTGACTGGTGGGGGGAGGGGGGGGGGCTGCACTGACTGACTGGTGGGGGGAGGGGGGGCTGCACTGACTGACTGGTGGGGGGAGGGGGGGGCTGCGCTGACTGACTGGTGGGGGGAGGGGGGGCTGCACTGACTGACTGGTGGGGGAGGGGGGGCTGCACTGACTGACTGGTGGGGGGAGGGGGGGCTGCGCTGCCAAAAATTAAAAATAAATATTGCAGTTGAGGTACAGATCAGTTATGGTCGAATGGAATGGCGGAACAGGCTCGAGGGGCTGGATGGCCTCCTCCTGTTCCTACACATAGCGGGAGCGCACACTGACTGAGGATTCCCACTGCGGTGGGTGAGGTCGGCGTGAAGACGGAGCAAACCAGACGTGGTTAAGGACCGAATGAGAGTCTCAAAGGATAGCACGGGACTGAGCACGGATGTATGCATTAGGAGCTAATGATAGGTCCGGCGTGGTCACCGGAGTCACGGGAGTAATTAACATGCTCACTAACGATGGCGTGTTGCACGTCTGAGGAAGATAATAATAATAATAATAATCCTTGCATTTGATATAGCGCTTTTCACGTCGGGAGGACGTCCCAAAGCGCTTCACAGAACACACTGTAAAGTGAATTGACTGTATATTTGTGGGCGAACGCGGCAGCCAATTGCGCACAGCAATGTCCCACAAACAGTCATAGATTAAAAATGACCCATTATTTTTTTTTTGGAGGGATTATTATTAGGCTCTGTGTGGAGTAAGGAAACTTGCCCAAGGTTTCGCCCTCTGCCTGGAATTGAACTCGGGTCTCTCACTTGCAAAGCGAGTGCTCTCACCACTGAGCTACAGGACTCCACAGATACTAACAGACATGTACTCGTACGTGCAATAGGCACATGCGCGGTAACAGGATACCATCTCTCCGGAGTATCCACTTTACCAGCCTACCATCACAGCCTCAAACTGCTTTCTAAATGAGTCCGGGGTCCTGGCCTCGACCTCCCTCCCCAGCAACCTCTTCCAGTCACTATTTACCCTCTGAGTAAAGAGAAAATTCCTGTTTTCCGTTCTAAAATTGCTCTTTGCAAAGCTAAACCGATGTCTTGTTCTTCTATCTGGGTACATCCTAAAAGGAAACTTGCTAATTCCTTTCCAGCTTTTCTATCCTATCCTACCTACATAACCTGAATCCTAGCAAGTTGTATTCACTTCCATCATCCTGATTTAGCCATGTCTCTGTGATTCCTATCACATTGTAATTACCAATTGCCTCTAATTCCACCATTTAATTTTGATTGCTTCCAGCTTTTACGTACATACAGTATATAATATTTTACTCCCTTAACTTTCCTGTCTGGTTTCCTGCTCTTGCTATCTGAGACTTTGTGAAATATTTCTGTTCTTGATTTAGATAATTCCCTCCCTTTTTTGGTCTATTTTGTTTTCAACCTTTCCCATCTCTTTCTGATGATCAGCAGGCCTGACCTCCTAATCTCCCATTCCTCTCTTCTCCCTCCCAATCTAGTTTAAATGAAACGCTGCTTTTACGTTTTATGGCAATTTAGTTCCCCTTTTAGTTAAGTGTAAACCATTCTTCCTATAAACGTGTATTAATGTTCTTGAAAAAGTAGCCCATTTATCACCACACTTAATTTCTTCCTGCACACACAATTTTCCTGACTTGAAGTTAATTATCCTGCTCGTTCTTCAACCCTCAGAAAAAATACATGGAGCAACCCAGATACAACCACTTTCTTTGACCCTTTTCTTTAAAACTCCTCATCAACCTTGTAACCATGATATCATTTGTTCCCACATGTGAAACTGATTTACTCCCTCCCCCCTCATGATCTCATCCTTTCCTCCCTTTTATCTCTGGAAAGGAAGCAGCATCCAGCCTTATTCATGTTATCATCTTTCCAAAACTCACTGCCCACATACCTCACTATTAAAACAATGAAAATTGTCAAGACATCTCAAAGATCTTCACAAAATCTGCTGTGAAGTCCCCTGTTGCATTTTTTTAATATATGTTCCAAATACCTCCTGTGTGTTGATATCTCCTCCAGTGCATTCCTCTCAGATTGTATCCCATGCTTTCACTCTCTCCCCTCACATTGGGTTTTATTGTTTGTTTCTCTTACCTCCTACTGGGTCTCAACACTGATCTCATTTTGTTCCCTGTGGGAATCCAATACTATGTACTGGATTGATGTTGCCACAATATAAAAGTATCTGATATTACAATTGCAGCAGTTTTTGCTCCTACAACATTTCTTCAAGTTTTTCTTTTATGTATGCACACACAGTAAAGGCGATATTTGAGCAAGTTTCAGTTTCTTGAACTATTTGGCATTTGGAGCAGACATATTCAGAGACTACTCTAATTTGCCCCCTCCTCTGCTTGGCATAACCCGTAATGTTTGCATATTACATTCTACAGTGAAGTATTTCCTTATACAGTCACTACACTTTACAGTGTATCCTGTGAAGTTCTTTGAGATGTTTCAATGACATGATAAGGCTCTATATCAAATGCAAGGATTATTGTTATACTCAAAGATTCTCGTTTGTTCCAATTCTCCTTCTCTTCTAAATAAGTTTCTTCCTCTCCTTTGTTATTTAACTTCTTGTTAATAAGTTCATTTCTTTAACTGTGAGAAACCTGTTTATCCCAGGCTTACTGTTAGAAGAAAGAGTGTGATTTTGAAATCAGAACATTAATAATCTTAGCGTTTGATATAGTGCCTTTCATTCAGGAGGACGTTTCAAAGCACTTCACGAGATTTATTGTAAAATGTAGTGATTTTGCATTTTGTAAGCAAACGTGGCAGCCAATTTGTCACATAGCCATGTTCCATAAACAGCCGTGAAGTGAATTAACAATTTTTATTTGTTTGTTGGTCAGGACATTAGGTGACACTCCCTCCTCTTTTCAAACAGTACAATCTTTATCATCCACCTAAACAGAAAGCTGGGACCTTGGCTCAACATCTCATCTGAAGCACAGCATTGGACTGTCAGCCTCGATTACACGATTTCAAAGTGAACCTGGAACCTTCTGATTCAGGCATGGTGTGAGGGCTAACAACTGAGCCAGACTGACATCTAAAATCTAAAATGGCTTAGCTACGCTTTAATACAATTAATTGAATTAATTTCCAACAGTATATTTATCCATCTATTTAACCAACTATAAATCCTGCCTAAAAACCTACATCTTCAACCAAGGCTATGGTTACCTCCCTCCTCCTCCCTTGCTCAGTGTCCGACATTGCCGTGTGAGGTGTTCTGAGATATGGGACACACCTACAGGAAGGGTGCTATATAAATGGTTGTTGTTGTTGTATGGTGCTATACTAACAACCTATGAAGCTTTCTTTTCTGATTTCAGATAATTCATAGTTCTTTGCCCATATGCTATTTCCCCCAGTCTGTTCAGTGCAAACACCATACAATTTTATGATCACTAACTTTACTGTTAGTTTACGGTCTACTTTTTAATTGAGTTTACACTTCACGTTAGATTGTTAGCTACAGACTAGT